ATGAGCCAATTTAAGTAGGTTAGTAAATCAATTTTTCATCCTTATCTTTAATTTTTATGCTTCATGGGATTTCCTTAAAGAATAAGAGGACAAAGACTACTCACAGTATCTCAGGACAACTTGGTGAAAAGAAATGTGAGATTTTCACTCCAAAGATTACCGGTGGAAAGGAAGAGTCTTGTGAAAAAACGTGTTCCTTCCATCTCACCTTTACCCACTCCCCTCCTTCAAGCAGTTTAATGTCAAAATTCTATTCAGGTTAGCCCACACACATTACCGCCTATTGATAATGGTCTGACCTAATAAGGTGTGGAAGGACGTACTTGCCAGGTCCTGTGACGCTTTATTCTCAAAAAATCCCACATCTGTGTGACCGACTTTGTTCGACGACATCAAACACAACGAATGCTAAGAGCAATAACACTTGGGGATGTTAGAGCTATGCAAAATATGGCAATTTGACCCACAGTCAAGCGTTAGCAGACAATCTCAGCGCTCGATGCTGTGTGGAAGGGTGGAGTGGGTGAAAACCCTCTACTGACATTTTATGCGCGTCAATAACACAAGTCGGCACGTTGGCAGCAAAACTTAGAGTCAGAGGCACCACACCCAAAATGCCTCCCTCAGGTCACACCCATTGAATTGTGTGCTTGTGCGTGTGTGTGTGTGTGGCAAGCCTCACGTGAAATTTTGCTTTCTCACACAGCAACGTCTTGGAGAGAGGAGTCGGTCCTCCTTTACCATTAGCTGGTCTTCCGTGTGAGTTGTCTCCAGTCCAAGTGTCTCACTGCGACCTTTCGAAAAAAAAAACACTAAAAACAAAAAAAAAACAACAAAAAGTGAAATGAGAGAGAGAGAGAGAGACAGTAAATCACACAGCAGAGTTGGATGTAATACTTTGGCTGTGTTCTTGTTTATCTGTGTGTGCAAATTAATTCGCCACTTTTAAACAATTATGCAAACACCTAAAAGTTAACTTTAAGCGTCACTCTCAACGCCTTATTTATGACTTCTGTAAAAATTCAAAATGCACATCATTGAGAGGGTGACTGGCAGTGCCTACACCGAGACCTGCGATTTCCAAGGTGGATGAAGGGACTTCCACTGGCACAACCACTTCAGGTGTTGTGGTTAGAGGTTTGGGAAAACGACTGAGGTGCAGCTGTAGGCGTGTGTGTGTGTGTGCACCTCGAGCTGTTCACACGAGCCTTTAAATTATGTCCCCACTGTCACTGCTTGACGTCGAGGCTGATGCGTATCACTGCGGCACCACCTCTTTTAATCATCCTACTTTGACAAACCGCATCTTGGCAACCCTTTAGGTAGGTTGCCAAGGCCCTGAGACCAAAAATTTCGAGTTAATGAGTCACTTGGAGCCGATTGGTGATTGAGGTAAACGGAGTGGGTGTAGGTAACTTAGGTATGCGCTAGAGTCTGTTAAAAAGGGTAATTTGTCTAATTCTCCTCATTTCACTTTCATGGCAGTTCGTCTTTTGAAAGTGACATTAACCATTGATTGATGGAACCGACGTCAACGTTCTACCCATAGTGCGAAATTCAGTCTACCACCCCAGTTAAGGTGGTAAAAAAGCGTTAAAATCCACATCTCGCGGTTTTGCGATCTCAAGTAAGCCGTCCACCCCCTTGGCAAGTCGTGAACAAGCTTGTCGAAGCGTGCGCAACCTTCCAGCATCCACATTGCCCTGCGTCACCTTGACTGGGAAAGGGGGAGGGGGAGAAGTGCGACACTTGACAGTAGTGCCTTCCGCCTTCATCATCATCATCATCCTTGTCATGAGGCCGATGGATTGGAGCGCCAGTCACACCTCCCCAATGGAAGCGCTCGCATCACATCTTGCCTACAAAAGACTTGGAAGGAAAGCGAAGCCATAAAAGTACAATTCTTTGTCTCGTGCATTGTCAATTTTTTTCTTTTCGACGGGGGAGGGTGTAATGATGATGGAGCGAGACATCCTGTTGTCCTAAGTCGTAGCAAAATGGGTGTGGCTATCTCAACTCCACAAGTCTAGAAGGAGGACGAAAATTGCCTGCTAAAACATCTGAAATGAAGAGGCACTTGTTGACAGAAAACAACCGAAAGTGCTCTTGCTTCTGTAAACACCCACGAGTACTTCGTCTTTCTTATTTTTTTTTTCTTTTTGTATTTTTTGACCTAGAATAGACCGGATGGTGGTAAAATTTGCCAAGTAGAGGTGTGAATGAAAGGCGACTCCTTTTGCTTCAGAGCAGGCATTGGAAAATGCGAGCTTGCGTCTCCTTCTTTTCAGGGGGAGAGAAGGTTTTGGAAAGTATTGGAAGGCATTTGAGCCCTAGTCACAGAGGCGACCACAAATAAGGCGAATAAGCAATTAGTTTTGATTTATTTAAGGAGGAAATGGAGGTATCATGTTGGAGAATAGATGACAAATAGACAATTTTCTGTCCACGAAATTAGCTTTTAAGACGTTCCCAGTCCCAGTTGTCAGATGCTTAGAGTTGGAGTAGAAGAAGGAGAAAATAGAACTCCTCTTACTTCATTCATCCGTTTCCACTGGGGCTTTGTTCCCTTTACCATTAAAATTTTATCACTTATATATTACTTATTTAAATTCAGCGGCATCCAGGCGTTCCAACTGATTTCATTAGGATTGGAGAGATGAGAAGGGACCAGGAGGACAGGGATGGGGTTCTTTACAGTATGTAGCACCCTCAGGGTGGGTTAAATGAGATAGGTGGGATGAGGGGGTAGCCACACACTCGCAAAACAGGTTTAATGGGGACCATTTGAGGGCATTTTGCTACAGATCATTTGGAGATCATTCATTTCTCAAGTGTAGGTGGAAGAAATGTAGAATGGAAAGAAGAACAATCATTTTTTTTTGCCTTCTGCCTGCGTATTTAGCACTTGTTGATACAATCCCATCCGGCATTGATGGGGAAGGGGGAGGAGGGGGGGGGCACAAATGACCCTGGCCTGATGTCACAGGGACCAAGCGCTTTCGCCTATTCTACTTGCGAAGGTTTGAGCAGTCAGTAGTAAATTACCAAAATTGGTCATGAATATTGTTTTGTTTCGCATCACGATCACAGTAACAAAGGGAGGCCAGAGTATTTTAAAAAAATTGGGTCCTTCAACCCTTTTTTTTTGGTTAACACTTGTACTTGTGAACCTCCTTCTTTATAGGTTTATTTTATTTTATTTTTTCACTTGATATTGCAACATCAGGTGTGAATTTTATTGAAGGAGAGTCGCATCCTTCTTCCTCCTCCTCCTCCACCTTCTCCTTCGCTTAGCAATCTTCCCCGGAAGTTGAGTTGTCCACGCCTTGGCAAACGTGTCCATCAACCTGACACTTTGGGCGTTTTGGAGACGTGGTGAGGGGAGGCAGATCAACTTGGATCCGACTAACTCATTTACACATATTTTATACACCACTTTTTAATAAAATCGCCATCATTATTTCCTATCAAACTGTGAGTTTCAAGTTGTATGACAAAAATTGTAAAGTTTAATTGCCAAACAAACGGACTGAAACGAGAATTGTGCCGTCAGGTAAGGCGACACCGCGATGATGCCATCGATTTGTGGTGGTGCCTCTGCGAGGCGGCGGTTGATTAGGAATCCCTGTCTAGGCCTGCAGAGCAAAACAGCAAGAGAGAGAGAGAGAGAACGAGAGATGAAAAAAGTGTTTGGCATGTGTGTGATGCAGGGTGTGCGTAGGCTTGCATAAAATTCTACTACCTCAACTACCCTTCACCAGCAAAGTCACATGCGGCCACACCCGTGTAGGCAAGCAGGCGAGGAATTGCGCAAAATTTCCACTTTTTCACGTTCTCTCACTTCCAAGGCTATGCATACAAAACTGACTACATCATGACGTAAATAGTTGTGTCCTTTTCGACACAAATCATGTCGACACCTCAATTGCCCTCACCGGAGGGAGTTCTGTCGAAGAGTGGAAGAGGAGGGGAGGGGAGGGAGGAGGGTCTGTCACTTAGATCACCAGACATTCGGTTGTTAAGTCCTTAATTTCTACTAGGTGGGAAGGAGGGTGGAGGGAAGGAGAAGTCTGAGCAAAACAACGACCCAAAGGGAGCAGTGGTAGACGCATGACACCCCCCAAGTTACTGCAGTAAAGTTCGCGATCACAAGCCCTGGTCTCTTTCATGTTTACTTCCGAGACTCCACAGGAATTGCACCCTTATGTGAGGGGTCTTTGACATGGATGGAGGCTGTCCCGCCTGATGTTACCACAAGATTAGGAGGAAGGTAGGTGATTGGACTGTGAAACCCTGGAGAAGGAGGGCTGCTCCAGAGCTGATAAAATTGACGCGAGAGTGCGCAAGGCTGTGCCCCTTCATCCAGACCCCATAGCCTACATCAGAGAGAGAGAGAGAGAGAGGAGAAGTTGTTTTTCACGCTGACAATTCTCACAACGTCTCACTTGCAGGTCCCTTTGTCATTCAGGTGACCTCTAAGTTTGACTGACAAAACAAATGGAGACACGTCTGCCCCAAAAATGTGCCTCGTCTGGCCAACTGGGAGGTGTTAATTGTCCCATTTGGCTTGCCAAGGCGATAAAGTGTGGCAGATGATCGCGAAGGCTTCAGTGACGCTTGACAGAGTTCAAGGTTGACAAATTTCTGTGATTAGTGAAGATTATAGACACCTCCCTACGCAATAAAAACAAGACTTGACGAATGTTTTTTTGTTGATGTTGTTGTTGTTTTTTTTGCCTCTGCCTTAGAGCCTTAGGCGTGTGAATTAATTAGTGGGAAGTGTGCATGTGTTGCAACTGCCTTCTCAGCCCTCGCCTCCTTATCCCTCCTGTCGGGAGGGTATAAAAGCAGTTGTATCATCGACATGCCTCATGAGGCACTGAAAAACAAACTCCAAAAGTACTGGATTAGGTGAGCTGCCTTTTGTCTTCACATTTTGGTGGCACGTCTATGAGACGAACTTACATACACATCCTCTTCCTCCTCCTTGTCTTTTAGACATGGCGAACCACTTCCTACTTGTCGTGGGCTTGGCCCTGCTGGTGAGGGGCAGCGTGTACGATGAGTTCAAACAATGGGATCCCATTCATTGGATTGTGAAAAGCACCGATCATGTGGAATTGCCTTGCTACCATCCACGATACTATCCATTCAACAAATTGGACAGTATTTTAAAGGTCCTATGGATACTGCCTGAACACACCTCGTATATGCGGATGGGCCCAGGAAGCGCTTCCGAGGGATGGAAGGTGATGGGTAAAGATAAGAAGTACAAGATTGTCATCGAAAAATCAAAGATGAGCCAGCCAGAGACGGTGAATGGAATGTACTTATGCGCTGCTCTGGCCGAGGTGGCCCTTTCGACAGGAGGGAATAAAACGTACGCCTGGTTTTACCTGAGATGGGGCGTAGGTCTCTACAGCAAAATTCCCGCCTTCCTGGAGGGAGGCATCGCCCATAAGCAAGTTTTTTTACCCATCTGTTTGCCTGTCATTAAAACCAGTACTGCTTTCAGTGTTTTGCTTTGTGCCTAAGGGTGGGTGTGAAGTAATCTCGTCTCTTCCATCCCATAGGTATTACTGGCCATTCACGTACGCCTGGGTCTCCGTCCTCGTGGCACTTGCCGCCGTTGGCCTCTTCTCGTCGGCGGTCCACTTCCGCTATAAGGGCGGTCCCAAGGCTTCATCTGATGCGGAGAACTTTGATACTAGCAGTGACACTCTAACGGAAGACGACAATCAGTCATACTCAATGAAGGCAGAAAAGGTTTAATCCGGACGCTGTTCATTGCATCAACATTGTCAAGTGCATTTTTATAAGCATTCCTCCCACTATTTCCCCTTTTCTGGTTCTTTTGTCGCTCCTGTTGGAGAAACAGTTAATATATCTCCTTAAGACATTTTTAAAGGCGATAGATTTTCAGAATTGTATCAATTAATCGTGTAATCCTTGATATGAGGTACTACTGTTATAGAAAATCAAAGGACATGCGTGTTAGCTCATTTCTGTAAGGCAAAGCCGAAGAGGTGCTATCGGGCAAGTTCTAGATGGGAGGGAAGACTGTCACAACTCCTTTTAGAGCAATTTCCTCAGATATGCTCTGCTATGGTAAATTATTTCCTTAGCCTTAATTAGACAAGATACATCGTAAGACAGTTTCATAAGGAGTAGAATGCTACTTAATTAGTCAGTAGTAGCTAGCGCCGTGAATCTAGAATTATGTAAGATTCAAGCCAAAATGACATTAAGAATGAATTACTTTGCAATAATTGGACCACAGATTGGGCAAGAATAATTATACTTTTGGAACACTTACCTTCAAGTAAAATAGGGCATGACTGTGTCAACACCAATTCTTATCATGTCAGACTCGAGGGTTTGAACTTTCTTTGGAGATCAACTTGTTTTGGAACAGCCTCTGTATATCTGTCAATAAGAGGCATAGGTCTAGGTACGCTGATTAGTCAAGGAGGTCCCTCATAATAACTGTGTTTGCTGACGCCTACCACGGAAGAGATTATTTTAGGCGTGAGGGAAGCTGAGCTACGCTTTGTCTGATTTTATTTGTTGTAAGTGCTCAAGTTGAGCTACATAAAAATGCGTTGCCTTAAAATTGTCCAGAATAGCCTGTTTTGTTTACTAATTTTTCTCAGGCCTTCTAATGACCTTGTGCATGCAATCTACCTTCTGAGTGGATGAGTAACGCTAAATCCATGCATGCATGGCTAATGAAACCTGGGGATCCAACCCCGACCTCTGTAAAGCCCACGTTTTGGTATTCAAACTTGATCTGTCATATCGTACCACAATCTCTATGCTAGCTAATCTGGTCCAAATCGCGATAGCATCCATTCTAAGGTCTTAACCATTGATTATCGGATTGGTGGATCAATAAGATCCAGGCCACTAGAGCAATGATTCTTCACTTTGGGACAGCTGGCAAAGCGCTTTTGACCAATCTGATTGGCTCAATCAAAGTTTATAAGCATAGGAGAATAACGCAATCGAGTGACTCGGAATGAGGCTTCCACGGGATGGAGTTAATGAGACTTGGCAACTCAGTTTCTGAAGACGAATTTTAGAATGGTTGGAGGAGCTGATTGAGCCACACAGTGAGGAGATTGGTTGGCTCCTTCCGTCTTATGGCAATCAATGGCAGCGTTAGTACGATAAAGATTAAACGCGAAATGCTTAAAAACATCATGCTTCTTTTTTAAGTGTACCGATTACGCATGTAAATAGTGCCCTTACCCCACTCCTGAAAGTTAAAAATGAAGTGGAAGGAATTCATAGCGCTGCCAAAAGGCAAAATGAAGAAGATACGGAATGTGGATTGTGTAAGAGCACCAATCGTGCCTTGGTGAGTAGAATGAATTTTGGGCGTACAAAATCCACCCGAAAGTGATCAACGCGCCTTGATAAGTGATTAGACGGTGGAGTTTCTGAATAATGCATAATTTTAAGCCGCAGAACATCGGTTAGCCGTAACAAGTGTGACTACAAGTGCAGCTAGTGGAGACGGCTGAATCCATACGCAAGGAAACTTGACTTGTTTAACATGTGTATATAACTAAGCAGCTCTTCAGCCCTTAGGTGGTAAGGCTATTATCGCGCCATTACCGCATTTAGCCCAATGTAACAGCAAATCCCTACCGGGTCTGCTACATTCTTTGACAAGGCTCTTATCTACTTCGAAGAAAGGTCAGGACAAAGGGATCGCGCATACTAGTGCCGCCAAATGGATACGTGGATGCCGAGGCAGGCAACAAGCTTCATGGATGAGATTCAAAATTGTACACGCCGCCATTCGCGTGTTGTTTGTCAGTGTCGCATTCTTCCCACCAAAAATACTCCACCAATGTCACCACGGTGAAGGAGGACCGGAGTCCACCATTCTCGGCTTATCGGAGGAAGCAGTGGCGCCCGTGTTGCCAAACGGTATGCCTAGCAAAAACATCAATTTTTTCGGTGCATTCACTCGTCCACCTCAATGCTTAGCATTCTTTCCTTCTCTTTTCTCATCCAACTGGACAGACACTTCCTACCTTACTCTCGTCCCTACAATCGCCATTACTGCAATTGCACTCTTTTGCTCCTCTACATTTTTACGTGGCATTAAATGGAGCCGAAACATGCCATAGCTATGCAACACGATTTTTCAACTTCTGTTGGCCTTCTAAACGCAATTAAAACAACCAAATTCCCTCGCATTCGATACTCAGTGGTGGAAAAATGGAACTCCAGTTTTGTGATAACACACAAGAAACTTTTTTTTTCCATTTAAGAGAAGCTATCAAAGCATATGATTTTCAAGCACCGTTGTAGGCCACGAAACTGCGTCAGATGGCGCACACCCATGTTTGAGACCTCGGCGGTGCTTCTCTCTCTACAACTTGGTGAGACCTCTGCTAATCCAATCGACTCAAAGCGTTGCTGCAAGCTGCATTTTGGATTAGTGAACGACTGTTTTTTTTTTTTTTTGTATGAAAAGAGGGTGAATTCGAATGTCATTAAGGCGAGAAGCAAACTACTAAATCCACATCTTAAATGTACTTCCGAGTCGAAAGATTGCTGTTAGCCAAGTTAACTTGCTTCTCCTCCATCCCCAATCCGCTTGTTAAGCCTTCGGTGGATTTATTACAAAAAAAAAAAAACAACAGAACTTGTAACTCTTGTCGCTTTTCCCCTCGAAGATCGCTAATCATGAACCCCGTCTCTCTATAGTAGAGGTGAGAAGAGCTTTTATTAGGCGTGCCTTTCATTTCGAAGGGGAATTTGAGCCGAAACATATCCCAGCGCCTTCGATGAGGTTGCATTATCGAACAAAAGATGTGATGTATGGAAACGGGAGTGAGGGTTAATGTTTTTGTTTTCGATAGTTTTACATCTTTTAGGCATTCTATACTGGGTACTGTTTACTTGGTGAAAAAACGTTGTGTTTTTTGATGCATCGACAAGTCCACCTAGCGAAGATCCGCATTTTTTGGGGTGTCCGAATGGACACTTTATTGCATGTTGGAATGGATGAATGGAACGAATCCGCTCTTTGAGGTGTATGTGGTGGAAGGGACCCGGAGAAGAGAGAACTAGGCCCACATCACACCCATTATATCCTGACGGTGTGTGTAAGTGTGTGGTTGGGTGTGTACGTGGTGGCGAGCGCGAAGTAGTTGGTGATTTCGCATTAGAAATTCAAAAGGACTATCTAAATGCCACTCGTCCTTCACAAGTTTGGCGCACCTCTTGACATGAGAGACTATAAAAGCAGCCAACTTGTCGGCCTGCCTTATTGCTACAAAAGTAGCTGTAGAGGAGATTACGACAGTACGTAGCTAGCTCAGTCACTTTGCTTAGGTAGGTGCTTAATCATGAAAACCTCAATACTGGCTTAGATTGCAACAAACTCACTCCTTATTTGTGTCTTTTTCCTTACAAATAGATCGCCTAAATAGACTGAAAATGGCCTATTTCCTCCTACTCGCCATCACCATGGCTGCACTCGTGAGCGCGGACATTCACGACGACTTTCCTCAGTGGGATAGAATTCCCTGGGTCGTGCGAAGTACTGACACCATCACATTGAATTGCACCCACCCAGTACATTACCCCTTCACTGACATTCAAAGCGCATTGAGTGTGCAGTGGATCTTGCCCAAAGCGGCATCATACCGACATCTGAAGGAAGGAGAAACCGAGGAGGGATGGCATGTCACCACGAAAGAACGCAATTATCAACTTAAAATTAACAAGGCCATCATGAATGTGCCCGATGCCGTAAATGGGATGTACGTGTGTGCTGCACTGGCACCGGCCAGCAAGAATCCGGACGGGAGTGCAGCAACATATGCTTGGTATTACCTACGTTGGGGTGTGGGTCTCTACACAAATGTGCCCGCCATGAATGAGGGCACCACTGCCCAGAAATACTACTGGCCCTTCACCTACGCCTGGGTCTCCATTCTCGTGGGCCTAACCATCATTGCGCTCTTCTCGCTGACCATGCACTTCAAATACAAAGGCGGTCCTGTCAAAGGTGACGACGACGAGGGCGTAGGCGAAGATGGTCTCAGCCTAGACGACGAGGATGAGAAAACCTCAACCATAGGAAAGAAGGATCGCAATCTGAAGATCGATGACGACGACATTGATGGCAGGTTGTAATAGTACAGTATGCCTAAGAAGCCCTTTGTATTTTTATACCTTTTCCACCTTATTGGCTCCGTATCTCTACCCCCACCTTCTCCTCGTCACCGATGTACACGCCTATTTTCACCATTGGTAATATCCGTGCCACTTATGTGACAGCTGACGAAAAGCAAGCTTCTGAAAATAAAAGTTCTCTTATTAACTTGTTCTATAGCCAAATGCTCCAACAAACCCCCTGGTTTTGAAGGAAGAAGGTAGCTCTGACTCATTTAAAACACGAACCGCGCTTGACACCTGCCAACTTCAGTCCCGTAAGGCACTCTCCCTGCCAGGACTGTCTACTTCAAAGTATTCTATAAGGGGAGCAACGCTGTTTTAATTTTGGTGACGATGAACTATAAAGCTATGTTTAAATCAATACAGTGATGTGATGATCCGTGAAACTAGACGAGCCCCACGTGGGCGCTTAAACCTCAGCGTGTTACAAAGCGAGTGTAATATGAACCTTCCAAAATCCTCACCTCCATTCTAATACAAAGTAAATGAAGAAATGACGACCCTACAATGACCCTTATGCGAAACCAGATCTTGGCAGAGATCAAAACATCAACATGGTTTAGTGAAAAATCAATGATCCTCATTTTTAAAGCGGTAGATGGGTTCTCAGGCAAACGGATTGGCGACGCATTGCAAGACGTCCATGTCATAGTAACTGTTGCTCTTATGAGGTTCATTTTGTAAATTACCCCAAAATGCTTGCTCTCATACGACGGACAGAGGAATTTAAAAACCTTAGCGTTACAAAAGATAATGTGACGGAAAATGTGGTGTGTGGGAAATGTGTGTGCGTATATGAATACGTTATCTAATGGTAAAAAAACCGAATAGAGTACCAATACTCCCATAGACACTTCTTCCTAAAGTGCGCGTCCAAAATTACCTCTTTGTAATCATATGACAAAGCGCCTTCAATTAGGTGGCCGCACGGTCACGTCAATTCTTTTAACATTGATGAGAACGAAGAAGAAACACGGTGTTGCACCAAAGGAAATCTTGCCGGATGGAACAGTCCATGGGATACACAAGAAACACCGATTGGTGTCATGTATACGCAGTAGTTGTTTACTTCCAATAAGTCCGTTTATAGCAAGGCAATGTTTACGGGTGTCTATTACTTAAAGCCAATCACAGCTGTTTTATTTAAATAGTGCAATAAAGACTTTGTCTGGCTAAGATTGGCCGCATAATTGCTGTGGTAAAAGTTGTTCATGGATTTAATTTATCTGTTTCCTAGTTGGAGTACACAAACAAGCATAAAGCATCTGCGCCAGTAGAAAATATCCTGAAATATTCCCAATTTCGTCATAAAGATCAAGAGATAAGTTATTCATATAACCTAAAGGTACGCTTGCATTATGGTGACTGTTAATCTCGCTATCGTGTGTTTAACAATTTAATTATGGCAGTAATGTTTTCAAGATTGTGTGCACTTTAGGCTTGTGGATAATCCAACCTAGTGCTCGGTAAGAGTTGATTCTCTTCCTCGTGAGATGTTTTCTTTTTCGCAACTGTTCATGTATTCAGCTTTGAGTCTCTAACAATGATTTTAGGATTGATAAAGTGGTGCAATTTCGCTTAGTCAACTTTGGATTATCCACGGGGGAAATTTTTGGTGTTTCAACTTATAGCTGCCATTCCTGTTAACTTTCGTCAAATTTTTGTGAAGTATTTTGCCTATCACCCGAGTACTGGTACTCAGATTGCATTCATTTGCACGGCTTGTTGCTGTCTATCAAAAATGGATTCCAATCGCAAGGTCCCCTCCATATCTGTTTCTACGTTTTCCACTCTATCCGGTAGAAAGCGAGAATTCATGTAAGGCCTTTTTTTCTATGTAGTAGGCTGTGTTATGTGTATTTATTGTCCGTTTGTATGGGTAATCTAATGCAGAACATTATAGTATTTCAATAATCTTCAATTATAACTTTGTATTTGGGCTCCATACCTTACTTCCTTTCGTAATAATGTTAAAACTTGCAAAATGAATGCTGCTCAGGGGCATCGGCTTCTGGAATTCTTACATAAGAACCCCCGAATATCTTAACCGAGAGCCTGAAAACCAGCCCATTACGGCAGAAGAACTAGCGAAGCACACATCCAAAGGTGATATGTGGATCGGCTTGCGAAACGGTACAACCGGTATGATTCTCATTTACATTCCTCTTGACTTCAAATTTAGGCTACCTTTCTACACTGTGAGGTATTGTGCAACATTTTAACCTCTTAGTCTTTTGTGCATTTATTTTTGCCTTTATTGTTCCCTGCATTAGCGATTTTTTCAGTTGAAGTGTTTGATGTGACGCTATTTGCTGAATATCACCCGGGTGGGGCCGAAATCATCGCCCAGTACGCTGGCACAGATGCTACTGAGGCGTTTCGATGCGTAAGACATAATTCATATCGTAAAAAAATTAAATGTTAATTTGCCTAACTCGATGTTTTATACTTTAGGCGCATGCATATATAAGCCCGTACATGATTCATCGCTTGAAGAAGGGTTATCTTGTTTCATCCAACCGCCTCAAGAATTCTCCAAACTGCAAGTTTTAAAACACTCTTACAAAGGGCATTTTGATACTGTCGGCTTTTATGGAAAGCAGTGGGAAATGTCCATAGATCACTTGTATTCTCTCATTTGTGTTCCTCCCAAGATTTCAAGATTGATTTCTCTAAACAAACTTCCCAATTTAGAGGTACTCACATGGAAACTATTCGTAGCAAAGCATTCTTCCAGAGGCCGAAATAAATTTATGTTGTTTTGCTTTTGATTCCTCCTTGCTACCGAGTTTGTTAATTAAGAACAAATATTGTCAAGTCCCGTTTTCCACTAATGACCCCAGTAGGTTCTTATAAAGTTTCTTTTATTTTCAGTTCTCTCTCCGACTATGAACTTAACGCCCGTACAACTTCCGCCCTTTAATGATCTGCAAGCGGCACGACCAAGGTGTGTATCAACAATTTTTTTCTGTTTGTTTCATGACTTAAGTTTTGCATAGACATTTGGAAAAGGAATCCAACCATGAGGCATCACACCTTTTCGCAGTCGAGATTCCTCTCTTGCCCTTTGCTTGTTTTGCATTTCCACCTCGCTTTGACCAACTCCATCTTTTCTCCTTCATATCTTGATTATAAAGTCCTCACTGGGTTGAATTTTCGTAATGGTTGATTTTCCAGTCTAACCTTCGGCTACAGCCGCGTAGATAACATTCAATCGAATGCGACCGATGAGCGGTGACAGGTTTGTATGCAACCTGCAAAGTGTAAAAATATTATGATGACCCAGAAATATTTTATGGAAATGACCTTTCTGTTGTAAAAAAAGCGACCATCACAGATATTGACATGCTGCGATTTGGGTTACCTTTTTAACGCTACTGGAACTATTCTACAAGGTCTTTTAGTCTCGTGATTCCTGCATTTCTCAAAGCTTTTCCTGTCATAATTGCGGCCTATGAATGGGATATAATCAAACTTGAAGTTTGAAGAAGTACAGTGGTGGTCAGACTGAGGGTAGTTTACCAAATTTTGTATGACCCATGATTTGGTATAACTTAAGTTGGCCTTTTCTGATACTTTATTTTATAATAAACAAAAGCATTTCGACTGGGCTTTGAGGGTCTGGATAATTTCTTGCCCAAAAGTAGGCGAATGGATCCTGCAATAGCGCGTCTCAAAAGGTTTGAAGGTACCTTTTTTTTCTCAGAAGCTCATCCATCGTCAGCACCCTAAGCTAGCGCTTAAAACCCGGCCATATTTGAATGTGTTGCTTGGAAATGGTTCTCCTTGTAGATGGGATTGGACCACTTTGGCAGATGAATGTCTGGTAACTTTAGAAATCGCGTTGAGAAGGCCGCTCGTATCCCTCCGACCATCCAGTCACCTTTTAGCTAGCTCGAAATTAGATGAAGTCGATCCTCGACGCACAATACTGCAATTCTTCATTATGCTAGACAAGGAATACTACGTGTTTAAGCTTCGTGAGCATTGCTTGTTTCAATTGCGTCTTCACTGGGCTACTGGTCTGGTGCTTTGGCTGTACTTTTGTTTGCAGGTCTTCTACCACAGCTGAGGCCAAAATTGCATAGCATACGCTTCGACCGACAATTTTCCTACTTCTCAGTAGATCCACACGTGTACCTGGATCTGAAATTTTCTGATTGTCAGTCATCTGGATCGCAGCTCACCACGCTTGGAAGCGTTCTCCAAGATGAAGTCCTCAGTTTCTCCGATGCATTTGAACGAGGTAGTTTACCCCTCAGTGGCCAAAGGATATAACTTAGTGTAGGACCTCGCGTATATTTAAATACTCTTTTGAAGGTGTTACAGGTCGCATGGAGCTAGCTAAAACTTGTTTATAATCGTAGAGATCTGCTTAACTGTTGAAAAACAGCAAAGATCAGAGGGTCTGCACATTTAACTTCCCTTCCCTTCTCTTTTCATATTCAGCTGGTTTTATGAAATGCGAAATCGTCTCCTCCGACCACGTCGATACATCGCCCTACCGACTACTTCGACTCAAGTGGCTGATGGAACAGGCACATCTTCCCATTCCTCTTTTGCATCACGTCCTCCTTTGCGTGACGGATGCCAATGGCTTGGTTCATATGCGACCCTACACCCCTACTTGCGTCAATCTTTCTCCAGAAAAGGAGAAAATTCGCGATTCATCATACTTTGATATCCTCGTCAAGGTCTACCCCAATGGCACGGTCTCCAAGTTCTTGGCTAATGCGGTAAAAGGTTTGTTTCACTGAAATAAGTAGCATACCCGAGTGTAACTACATTGTAAAACCGAAACGTTTACTGTCACCTTATCTTTTCAGGTTCTGTGGTCAAAGTCAGTTTACCTCAATGTCAACTCAGAGCCAACATTCTGCTGCACCGTTTTGGCGATGTATTCAGGCCATGGCCGTCTGTGTGTATGCTGTGCGGGGGAAGTGGAATAACACCTTTCCTACCCTTAATCCAGTACCTTTTGTCACTGCGTGAATCTCATCTCCGCCTCCTCTGGTTCAATACGCACGAGGAGGATTTGATTCTGCGCTCGCAACTCGATGATCTCGTCACATCATCAGATAGACGGTAAGAACTCTTTTCATACAGTGTTAATGATCATGGGAATTTCTAGACCCGACTTTACATATTTTGTAGTCTTTATGAACCTTGAAAAAAATAAATGAGAGGATTAAGGACATTTTCGCATGCCTTGCTACCTACTGAAATACTTTATCAGTAGGAATACTAAAATCTGCTGTTTGTAGATTCCAGGTGCACTATTGGTTGATGGAAGACAAGGGGAGTGAGGCATCAAAACAATCTAATGTCAGCATCGGTAGGATCAATGACCTAACATCACCTCAATCCTTTGAGACATTTTTTAACTCTCCCGCCACTTCTCTCCTGTGTCTGATCTGCGGACCGCAGGGCTTCAACTCGTCCGCTAAAGAGTAAGCACCACTTACCCAGCTCTCAAGAGATTTCATAAGTCCTCAGGAGTCCATTTTCTTTCAACTTCTCTTCTTCTAGATTGACACAGATCTGGAACATTCCAAGCTCAAATGTTCACGTTCTCTAGTGGAGACGGTTGAGTAGTTACTCCCGGCCAACCGATCTCAAGTTCAAAAAACAATCCTTCCTTTAGTGCGAGCATCCCTTCCGCTTGGTAGTACGGTCTCCCAAAGGCCGGTCGCTATTTGAGCACTAGATATCATAGCAAGTGGTGAGGAAGTCAAGTTAACTCTAGCTCTCACGCGCCTATTTTCATGTCATTTCTCGAGTGGATTATTATCAAATCCCTATATATGTTTTGTATTTGATCATGTGCTTTCTATCACTCTTTGTGGCAATGACTTGTAACACGATCCATGATTCTGTACCCATACTCGCCCTGAAGGTCTGTGATAAAGTTGGGTCTGAATTCGTCCATTGCACTCCGAGTAAATAGTCGGGGTTCTAACTCTGCTAGTGTTTAACTGCATATTGGACGTTTGCGAACTCTGCAGACGATTGCTAGTGTCGCCTTAAAATGCATAGGTGAACACTTCGAAGATTTAATGCCGATAATTGCAATGCAACCGTGTGTAACTCAGCAAGATCGCAGCTTAGTTGTCAAAAGCTAGTCACCTGACCATGCGATAGGGCTCGGCTACTCCGCGATCAGAAATGACATCACAAAGGAATGTGCTTCGCCTTACTATATCCCAATGGAGGGAGTCGTAAATTTTATCCTTTGGAAGTTTCTAGCACTATGGAACCCCTAATCACGCTTCAAAACGTCTCTGATTCAGTTGAACATTTTAGCGAACCATAATCCCGCAGAAGATTCGATCCTAACAGGAGTTCAAGTTGCTACTCATTCACTCATTCACTAATTCCTTCATTCACTCATTTCACTACTTCATCTCCTATTCTTCTAGTCGTATTTGGTTGAATAATGCTTGTTACAAAGGAGTGAAAGTCAACACTTGAGTTGGATAGGATCACCTTCTCTTCCCTACACCCCATCCTGAAGCAGAGATCGCATCACAAATAAGTTACCGAGGCAGAAGCACGACAAGCGCACATTTACGGGAATTAATTTCCCACCCGTTTCCATCGTGTTTGTTTTCAAGATCTAATACGGGCCTCAAAAGCTGCAGCCTTGGATTCATCACGTTCTACTCCATCACCAAGACGATAGGCCCGAGATGCATTGCGGCAGGCCAGCTCATGACCATTTAATTCACAAGCGCGCGCCCATGCTGCCGCAGCTGATTGACGAAGCTTTGTCTCAAGTTCTGACAGCGTCCGCCGCTGCGCCACACCTGTTCGTTCCACCTCCGCTGCTCGCTCTGCCTCTGCGCGGTGGTGATAGAGTCCACCAAGGTAGAAACAACCCGTTGGCAAATTTAAATTGCACGCTCGAGTGAAGTAATCCATTGCACTCTCGTTAGTGGCCTGTTTCATGCTGATGGCGCCTTCTAGCAGCAACTCACCGGCACTCTAAGGGGAAAACAAAGGTGACTTATGGTTACATTAATTCGGTAGTATCAACTCTGTCGCTCGACTTAATGCCTTAAAGCTTCCTATCATCTCAGCTGGAAATTGGTTTCTGAACAAATCGACTACCTGAACATCCTCCTTTTTACAAATAGTTCAACTACAATAGTTGAAGGAATTCATTAAAACCAATTTTACTCTCAACCAAAGCGACTCCGACCTGGCAGCATCTGGGGTTTTCACAGACATGACAGCCAAATTTGAGGGCTTCAAAGGCCTGAAGGGGGTCGCGCTTGATGGCGGCGGCGCCAAAGAGCTTGTAGAAAGCGTAGTGGCTACAGCTTTCAGCATATCGACGATGAAAACAGTTTTGGCGATACACATCCTCGGCTTTGACAAAATCATGTTTGAAACTAGCGTACCAACGAGCCAAAGAGTGGCATTCTAAAATGCACCTAAGTGGAAGCAATATTAAGTAAATCGGCCAGCCAAGGAGTGGCAGACACGCTCTCACGAACGTACGAGTCGCGTTTCCCTCACGATGGCAACCATATTCATACTTGGGACCTAAGCCATCGATATATTCTTGAGCCTCCTCTTCGGTCTTATATTCGAGTATCCCAGAGTCATCAGGCCCGAAGCTCATTGGCTAGTACCTAAAGAAAACGATGAAAGATTCCGAAAGTAGTGGCAGTATCCAGGCATGGATACTGGATTGCAAAAAGAAAGCCTTTAGAGCCCTATCCAGGGTATTGTGCGGCTTAGACTTCAATTCGTTCCACTGGCATCAGCATGTTACTTACTCTTGTCAGCAAGTCTCAGGTAAAGAGTCAAAGCAAACTAGCACTCTTCTACCACACATACTGGGTTTGTTCGCACGGCGGCAAGGTCTGACGGTTAGGCAGGAGTAGCGTTCTAATTTTCTTAGCCATGAAAAGTCAAGCAAAGCTTACTGCAAGAAAATGCTGTCAAAAGATTATTTTGGGCAACAATAAGGCCAGTGTGCTATTTGTACGACACTGTCAGCGGTTTTGAGGGCCTCAGCTAACTTCTAAGTTATTCCGATAATAATGACACTCAGCAAAGTGGGTTTGTGGTTGATTCTGAGTTTCGAGAGGCTAAAAGACATGCAGCTAGGTCACAATGTACGAGTATCTAACACAAAATGACTTTTGAAACACTGAATTGCATGCGTATATGGCTAGAGATCTATAGAGTAATAGCCTATAGTGGCCCCTGTGGCGACTACATAAATGCTGATGCCTTCTGTCCATGTTTGTTTGTATGAGTCAACATACCTTAAGAAAATTGGACGACCTAGTGTCGACGCTGCTTCCAGCTTCTGCCTGCGGGCTTCTGCTGGTCTGTTGCTTCTTACACCACGTACTTCTTCCATTTCCGGCACAGATTCGTTTTTTTGTTTTTGAGTGCGTTTCGCTGCCTTTTATACAATAAGCTAAGTTATCAATGTTGTTCTCAGCGTTCTTATTGGATCAGTAATAGCGTATCGTTTCGTCGTTGTCGCAAGACTAGCGCTGTCTTATTTTTAGATTTAGCCAGGCTTTCTTGGTTTCCTTGACTTAATGTTATTGCAAGTGTAGAGACTGGCTGTTCACGATTTAAAGTCATTATTTTGTGTGTCTTGTTTTATACATTTCCTCTGATTTCGGCTTAGTGCTTTTTCTGTTTGAACTTTGTTCTTTTATTGACTTATCAAAAAAACATCTTAGGTTCCCTCCTAAACTTCCATTATTAGCGAGCATCTTCGCTATTTTCTTATCTTTTTATTCAGCTCAGGCGTTTCGAGCTGCTTTCATTTATGCGGCAGTCGTTTCAGTAACTGAGGATTCCGATTTTATCAATGTACTGCTTTTGGTCGCTGCGCACCTACAGTCTGCGCTATTGCAGCTTTTGTTGCCTCATCATGCGAGCCAATTGTTTTATTAGGTTTCAACCAATATCGTTTTTATGGTCTCTCTTCCAATTAAATTGTGAAAATTTTCTGTATATTTTGCTTTGACTTAAACTTGTTGTTGAATGAGTTGCCAAATTATTATCGCTAGGAGGTATGTCCGTGATAGGGACATGGATCCTAAATTATTTTTCTTATATCCTTGACCTTCAGATTTCCATTTTTAATCTGAAGTACTTTTTGTAATAAATTTACAGCGTCCTACGCTAGTCCCCCTCTGTTTTTCTTTTCATACTCTTTGTCTGCAATTCCATGTCCTATCAGGCATTATGATCTGCTTTCACTCCCTTACCTTTTACAGCTACTAAATCCCAATGCGTGGTTCTTACTACTTTGTGATAGTGGGGTCAGATGATAACCCCCTTTTTGAATTAACCCACGGTTTGGCACCCAAAGCACCAGCCCAGAAGGTACTAATGGCTGTCATAGCTCAAATTTGCTCTAAATCAGACGGACTTTAGGTATTTGAATCAGTTCATTGCGCACGCAGCCCTTGATATGGTTGATGAGAATATGTGGTCATCGTCATCAACGTACCTGAAGATTGTGGACAAGTTTAATGAATGGCTCGTATCCGCTTTTGTCACTCCATCAGATATCCTTTTCCTCTCTGCAAAGCATCTCACATTCGCCTCAACAGTGATGTTCACTTTCCTTAATGCTGTGTACGTCTAAGGTTCCTCTTTATGCACGAAGAAAACAATGAGGACAAGATTCGCCAATTCTTTCAAGATGTATATGAAATCTATGTCCGGGTAGGTGGATGCAGTATATCTTTTAACCTTAGCTGTCTCTCAACCCATTCTTTGAGCCCAATAGCAGAATCACATCGGAAGCCTTCTTCAGGAAGGTTCAACAGCTCGCAAGGAACCATTTCGGATAAAATAATTGTGTTTATTCTTAGCTGTTATTTCAAATACATCGACTGCTGTACATAAGCCGTGTTCTACAATCTTATAACAAAATAGGTGACTTGTTGTAAGCGCGATGGAACTCACTTTCTCATTCTACTGCTCTTACGGGCCTTCTTATTTGGCGGTTGACAATACTTTGCTGCAAGATTGTCGATTAGATCGTCAGCGGCCTTCATGCGCTGTTCCTTGTTAGCCTGGATAGCAAGAATCAGAGAATCCATCGAATCTCCTCTCATCTCTGACCCCTTCTGTTCATTCGCCTGTCGTTGAAACTCTGCAGCCTCTTTCTTGGCCCTATTCAAACGCCTGGCACGCTTTTTCGCAGGCTCTTTAACAAAGCTATCATAGGGCTTTACGACCTTATCATCTATTAAAGCTTGGATTATACCGCGATAACGATCTTCGTCAAAAGCGTCAGCGAAGATGACACTTTCCATAATCTTATCCATACTGCCTCGATAGCGTTCGTAGTATGTAGCGATGTCGTTCCTTTCTTCTTCACTCCCGATGTATTTCTTTTTTTGCTTTTCAATATCCTTCTCAGTGAACCTTGGAAAAATGAGGTTAAAGTAGTCGAGCCAGTCCTCGAATGACTTCTCCGAGAAGGATTCTCCGATTACTCCTTATTTGAAATGTTAGGGACGGTGGTCCAACAAACCTGTCTCGTCGTATGCATCCTTGGCATCCTTGTTCGACAAGATGGAAAAAGCTTTGGAGATGACCTGGAATTGTGCAGTAGCAAGAGTTTTATTGCTCCTCTCACTACGGTCGGGGTGGTACTTCAACGAGCACCTATAGTACGCTCTTTTGACTAGCAAAGTTTATTAACAGAAGAGGTTTACTTTCAGCTTGACTACTGGACTTATTACATCCAAGTAGTGTGTAAAGGTTATCAGTGCCAAACAGACGCTTAGCCTCATCCAAAAAACCGCTCATTGGGAGCTCTGCCATTTCTAGATTGGTCAGTTCAAGTTAGGTGAATGGTGTTCTGGGCAGCATAGTAAAGTAAAAGCTCAAATTTAAAAGTTGAAGTGTGGATAACACAAACGAGACTATAGTTTGCACACTTTGTCGCAGTGGCACAATAATTCAAATTACTTATGTTACGATGGTAAATCGACGTTCTAGCTGTTGACGAGAAAATGGATCAGTATGCTTAAGGTGAACAAAGCTACAACATGTATAACTGGAAATATTTTGGGTACACTCGATTGTATTTATCAGTTTTAAGATCTCTACGGTGTATTAAGACTTCCCAAAGGCTAAGATCAGGCGTTAAGTAGAACTGAATGCATGTATTCTAGGGAGAGCAAAGCGATTGAGCCTAAGCACATCCAAAAGCCAGTCCACGCATGCAAGGACAAGATGCGTTTTAAGGTAACCACCAGGCATCAGATGTTTGCACAGAAAAGTATTATTTTCTCAATTTTCCTTTCGCACTTACACCGGTGCACAAGTTCCGAATTATCTGCATTGCCTCCGATTGATCAAAGTAATTGTAATAATTTGTTTATGTGACTACCTAACGTTTGGCGGTCACTTTAGGATTTTTCTAGTCCTTGTACACGTGAGCCGGCGCTCGAGCCATATCCAGGTTCATTTGTCCTGTCGTCTTAAGTATACATGTATCCAACTGCACTTACTGACTTCGTATACTGGCCAGGAGGTCCCGAGATGCTGCGGCAACAATGCGATATAGATACTCCTCAGTCACGAGGTAAATGTTACTTGTTATGAGTATCACCACCGGAAAAACGACCCATTAATGCATGCTTATTAGCGGAGAATTAGAAAATAAACCTTAGTTTGATCCATTGGTCGACATACATGTGCAAAAGCAAAGCGATTGCCACACGATCCCCAAAACAACCACCAGATATCAGGTCACCACTCAAACAGAGAGTTGCATCACCCACCCTCTTTCCTCCCCTCTCTATCTCCTACGGGGTTACCTCCTCGGCACTCACTTTGGCTACCACACTCACCACCCATCCCAAAACAAACCTTCGGTACTGCAAGACAGTCCCACCAGCCAGCTGCACCAATCATCAACTACCATGAGATTCAGTATATTACTCGGTTATTACTGGTTTTGCTGTGCGACACGAGCACAAGGTGGAACCAAGTGTAGACATCATTCTCACCACCTGTGCTGAGAATAATGCGGACAGTGTCCTACCCGCAGGATGTGCGATCCCTCCACACCGTAGGCAGATGAGACGAGAGGTGGGTGCTAGGATAGAAGTCGTTAACCGAAGACGGGTTGGCATTCTGTTGCCACTGGTGTGGTGTCACGAGACTTCCAATTGGGTAGGAGCGGGTATTGAGTTGAGCAGCAGCATGTATAATGGAGGGAGAAGGGGAGGTGGAGGGTTGGCTCAGCTCGAAGGTCATAAACAATTTATTGCATTAAGTTCGGCTGAATGCATGCATTGTAGGGAGATAAGAATGGATATGTTTTTTGCTCAACTCGATTGCGATCTCACGAGTATTAGGGCAAAACAAGATCCTCCGTAACCGCCAGACTTCGGGTAATCACATAAGCCAATTATTACAAAAGCTGTCTAGGCTCCTTTTACTTATAAATTCTTTTTATTGTGGGAGGATTTTGACCTGAGAAAAATGTCGAAAATAATTAATTTGGACCAAATATAGATTAAACTTCAATATCTCCTACATTTGATGATTGCAACCATTCCACTATGTAGGTCGAGCCATAATTTAAAGTGGAATGCTTGCATTCTACATGATGTAGGAGGATTTGGACTTTGGCTGGGCCAGAAGGCTAGTCTAAGCAGCCGAGCTCAAGATGAGCACTGGAGTGACCGCCAACCATGCCGTTAGTCACACAAGCAAGTCATCACAAGTATTAAAAGACTTTCCTGTTGTTATAAAAATCTGTATATAGCGCTTTTATACATTTTGGGCTTAGGTGGAGGCAAGCCTTGTACCTATGGGTGGTCTCACAATCATTTCATTCCCGTGTTAAGTACATGCATTGTGTTGCGTACTATGCTAGCGCTACCTTGTCTATATAATTATCTGTATATCTGGCAATCGCGCTAATTTCTGATGTGCTCTTGCCAAAGTAGCTTACTTTTAGGCCAAATCAAAGCCCAAAGCCTCCTCGTTCTCCTCCGATAATACATGCACTTAGCTCAACCTAATGCCTTCTTCGAACTAGCGATAGCCACGGAGCACTACAGCGCTCTTTTATCCTTTAACATTGCTGTGGTTCTACGCCAATGGGACATTTCGAGCAGAGTCAAAAGTATATGTAGCCACGGCAATTTGTATACCGATGGGTCCTATGTTGCCCTTATAGGAGATGGGAGGAGGGCGGATTGTCAATTCGAACAATGAAATCTGTGCTTGAAGAACGCGAGGATCCATCCGCGCGGTAACTTTATGCCGCCGTCTTATCCACACCCAAATCCCTTTCTATTCTGCAAAGACTGCTTAATAAATCCTCTTCACACAATTCACTTATGAAGTCAGTGGTTCAGGAGCCTGCAGCCATAGCTGAGCAATGATTCTTTGATGAAAGCAGGCAAATGCATTGAACGCTAGTACCGATTCATCTCAGCTGACAATTTTGGAGCGCAGTGGTATTCTCTACGAACAAAGTTTTCGCATTGAATAGCCAAAGGCTTTGTGTTCCTCAAGGAAGATGTCTGGCAAAAAATCGGAGGACTAGATTAATGGTTGAATTTTACCGACACCTTGAGCTACTTGTAAGATGAGTATTGTAGAGGTTAGACTGCTTTTTTACTTCAGTCTGTTTTGCACTTGCAAGCTTCTAAAGTTGTTGTGTTGGTTATATCTAGTTAAACAATATTTTTGGGCGAACAGCGATGATATCCCGAACCGCCTTCTTGACTCGCATCCGACGACACTCCTACATGGTCGCACTAAACAGAGAACTTTTCTCCCGTAGATGTAACCTTTTGTTTAATCGATTGTGTAATATTTACTAGTATGTCTAGGTCTGCTGTTATAGGGAAGAAGGGGGACGTTACTTCGAACACGAACCCAGTGCGTGAGGGGATTGAGGATTCATTCTCCGAGTCATATCTGCTTTCCAACTCATCTGTGCTTCCATCCTTTATGTGTACACTGCCAAATAAATCTCTGCGACTAACCTCCTCCTAAAGTACAAGGCTCAAGGAAATAAGGGTAGGCAGACAGGCTCTACAGATTGCCCCAAGGTGTAGTAGCCATTATGCTTCTGTCAAGTTAGTTGACTTTAGGGTTTTTCATGGCATATCTCTATCCCTTTCCGTCTGACTACGGAAGTCCCGACAAGTCTTATGGTAGAATGACCATATACTTCTTGGGCCACCCTTGGATCAAATGTTATGCGTTTAAATAGCTTTTACATGTGGGAGGCATAAACTCAGTTCAAACGCGGTGCTCTGTCGAGAAAATTTCCTTAACCAGTAGGTGGACCCGTTCTTGCACACGCTTTCTTACTCGGTGTTAACCTTACTAATGCCTAATAATACTCTTCCAAGAAAGGCCTCTTTTGAAAGTCTATGGAAAACCTAGGAAATAGTCCTGTTCAACACTCGTAAATTTGATATGTGAGCTTCAGTAAGCTTATCCCTAACTTTATTACTATTAACTGCCACTGTAAATGTTCCTCTTCAACGATAGTTCTTCAAGCCAATTTGTTTCATACATAATATCAAATCAAACAACGCTTTCATCCTCAACCAATAGGTGATTGCGGTGTCTCATGATCTCGTTATACACATACTCAAAGTGTGATCGTGGTAATGTTATGCGGGATGATTCTTTCTGCACTTACCTGATCTACTCGTTTGACATCTTATTTCATATTTTCTACTTCCAAATAAGCTGCATTAAATATTGTGCAGAAACTCAGTTCGAGCACAGTGTTTAAGAAACGTGAGGACGACCCGCAGGAACCATAACACTCGTCTGAGATCCCTTGTCTACCTTCTTCGACTGATATGATATCTCTTGATATTTATTGGTAAATCCTTCTAACAAAGAACTTCAGAAGAACTCCAGAAGAAGCATCTAGATTAGCGTCTACAATGGCTATGCAAGATTCACTCAGTAGGAAAATTACGGCCTCTTCGAAGATGAGGGTGCACCAATAGAGAAGTTTTACGTGGTGTTTCTACTCGTTCCTGAATGTCATTGTGATGAGTATCCTATGTAACAATTGTATTCTCCTTTCAAGAAGCATGATGTCTGATAAGATGAAAGGAAGTCGGTGAAGTGTTTTGGGATATTCAAGAAGTGGGTCCTCAAAGTTTTGTGCAAAAACATTGACAACTCGTTTGAAGGAAGACTTCAATTGTATCAGCGGCTTCTGAACAAATAAATAACTTGTCGAATCACCACTCCCTTTCCTTGCCTTCGTCTTCATTGTTGTTTAAAGGAGCCATTTAGTTCAAAGCATAAATCTTGTCACAGTAGAGGGCGATTATTTTTTTTCATGCCTTCTTTGCTTTGCTAGATCAGGTTCTACCGACTTGAATTTGCATACCAACTTTGGCACACCTTTTTCAAGGAAGCGAAAAAATGCCTCTACCGAGGAATTAATTCAGAGCGTAATTAAAGCCTACCGCTGAGCCAATGAGGTGGGGTTTGTGCTACGCATTAAAGTCGGTCAATGAAAGCGGACTTTGGCAAGTCTTCAGAGCCGTACTTCGGTGTTGGTGCCAAAGGGCTTGGAGATGCTTGTTTATGTCCACAAGGCGTAGAATCTGAAGCAATATTTATTGCCACAGATGTGTTAAAGCACTTGATCCTTGTGCATCTACTGGATGGGGAAGTAAGTGCTCAAGGGCAGTGTCACAAGGCTCCCCTGAAGTTGTAACACGTTGAAGGATCAAACTAGAAGCCTTACCTCTGAAGTGAGTACAGGATGAGGGGAGGCTGTACTGCTGGACTGAAATGCTATTCGCGTCAAGTAAGCACCCTTGTGGATAATCTCGAGGTTAGGCTCGAGTAGTATTGGGGGGAGATTCTAGCTTTCTTTAGTTCATTGGCAAGCTCCTTCGACTCCTTCCCTTTTCATTGCTTTTGAGAGACACATCGTATTTTGCCTCCTCTCTCGATTTGATATTTGTATCCTCGTAAGTACACTTTGAGGTCCATCAGCGAAGGAAGCGAGCATTCAAATGGTTGCAAAGCTCTGTTTGAGCAGTCGGAAAACCGATTCCTTAACATGGCAATAGAATCACCCACCCTCTTAACAAGAAAGTAGTCGAATCACAGATACGTGTTTATAGTTTTTAATTAGAAGGAAAATAATTAACACCGAAAAAAAACACTAATGTTATGCAAAGAAGCCACAAATGAAGATGGTGAGAGAAAGCATGAGAGTGATGCCAATGGAGGTGATGATTCGACCTTTTGTACTCTCCTCAATACTACTCTGACGCTCTGCCTCCTGCATGCACTTCTTCGCCTCATCCAATGTAAAGACTGGCTCTCTGGTGTCCTGCATCGACTCAATTCCACAGAACCAATTCAGGACTTTTCGCCATGCCGATAGTTCCGGTTTCTTCATTTTCGCCTCTTCTAAAGGAAATCAGGCAATTCAGGGAACAATTTCTTTAAGGGTGTCACTTAAGTCGCCAACGTTTGTACCTTCCAGCCACTCCTGTTTCGCCTCATCTGAGACAATCGTGAGTTTAGGTCCGTCCAAATTGGGATCAAAAGGAGTGTGTATTTCAGAGAAGACAAGACGACGAGTCTAGTGTCAGTGAGCGGCAAAAGAAAAGTTGGCTGAATAACAATTCGCTGGTGATACGGTACCACCTTCAATCGACTTACATAAGATGTCGGCAGAGGTGCAGTCACAAGGCTAACACAGACAGCTACGACGAAAGGAATAACGAAGAGGAGGATAGAGAAATGGAGGTAGTGAACTTTGAGCAGAAAGTGTGGTGGATCTATGGGAGTATCTCCGCAGGGCACCTTCGCGTAAGCCAATTCCCATCCAAAACGACCCACTCCCATCACCAGACCAACAATCAGAGCTGCAAAACATCCCTACAAAGAGCAAAAGAGGGCTGAGCATCTCATTGCGTAGGAAAATGATGGAAAAAGTGGAAAGTAGTGGGAGAGAGGGGGTGGGGTGGAGGGGATATGGAGAGTTAGGGTCCATGTCTTACATTCTCATTGGTTCGTTTCCAGAATATGGCTAAAACGTAGACGGCGCAAATAGGCGGTGCGAGGTAGCCGGTGACTGACTGGACGTAGTCAAACAACTCGTCACTCAACTGAACAATCGGTATCCAAGCTATGCCGATTCCCACCAAAATGATGACACAAACCCTGTAGTTCAACAAAGAAATGAGGTAATCATCATCGCCTTCCTTCCAAAAGCGGAAAATAAAACCGACCTGCCGACAATCATAATTTCAGCGTCACGGCTGTGAGGCCGAATTAATCGCCATATGTCAACAGTGAAAATCGTGGAGGCCGAATTGAAAATGCTAGTCAAACTGGAGACCAACGATGCCATCATGACGGCCAGCATGAGCCCCCTGGCTCCCGACGGTAGGACATTCAAAACCAAGGAGGGATAGGCAATGTCCGAGCATCCCACAGCCTTGCCACAGATTTCGGAGCAAAGCGGAGCAGATCCACAAGTAACTGTGTCTACGCAGAGCAAAGGGGACGGAATAACTCGATCACCTCACGCCTACCTGCAAAGAGCACGCGAGCTGTCATGCCTGGCACAACCATAAGCCAGAGGGGAAGAACTTTGATGATG